AATGATAGAGTTTATCATTAAGTTTTCTTAGTTTTTGTACTGCGTTTTTTTATCAGATATTTTATTAAATTATATAGGGAAAAGCGTTATATTTCACTATTCACTTGGTTACAGCAAAATCTAATCTTAATAGTTCGCACATAAAATGATGTCCCCAATTTTTTAAAATGTGCATCATCTTAAAATATTTTTTCCCTATTGGTATCCCCGTATACAAGTTGGACAGTCACGTGACAGTTCAACATTCATGTTAAAGTAAATTATTTATTATCACGTTAAATTAGAGTTTGTTTTTAATCGTGTGATTTTTTAGCTTAGTATCTTTTTGGAATTTTGTTTATGTTATCGCGAACGTATCGCGTGGCGGTTTTTCATGTAGTGAACAAAATGATTATTACGTTTGACTATAACAAAACCAGTTATTAGAAGAGATGTACCTCTGTCTTACAATGTAAAGCGAGTATTCATTACCTTCGGACTCCATCGTCAGATCGACTCCGTTCCACACTAATGTTGCATTGTCATCCAAGTTTATGTATGCAAAATTTCAGCTCAATCGAAAACCGAGAACTGGTGATTTATATCTTGCTCTTGGTTCAGACTATCGCGACAAGTGAAATAACTGGTAATCATCCTAATACTTTATATATAGGATTAATTTTACGAATATCCTTCAAATAATATCCCAATAAGTCTAAACTGCTGACGGCAGCCATCACTTGCTAAAGCCTCTTCACACTTATTTAAAGTACACAAGGTTATATGAAGTTGGAAACACGTCGGGGAAGAGTGTTCTACATTTAATTGGTACGTAAGAATAAGATTTTTCAATTATTTAAATACAAGATAGCACAGTATATTTATGTTCTTAACTAAATATTACATATAATATCCGTTTATAACTGAAACTTTTCCTTAGGTTGTCCCATGGGGATGCCACCAGTGATATTGTTGTAAATAATTAGTTGCGAAATTTCTATACTAGCCCTTGTGGATAGAGTATTATTACTCTCATAATGTTCCCACTGTAAGGGTTCAACTACTTAAACGACCTACCTATTAGGCATTTAGCTAGCTTTGTAAATACACAATAAACCTAATAAACATATTCCATTACACAGAAACAGAAATCGTAAATTTAGAATATCTACATGCAAGCCAAGTGCTTGATTTGGCAAGAAAAAAGCTAACGAGAATATCTATTTCATAAATAACGTAAACACGTGGTTAAAAATATGCCAGCCTTTTGATGGAACAGAAACCACTCAAGTTTTTTTTTTAACTTTATAGCTTTGGAATTGGGCTTATTTTAGCTCTGAATTTGTTACTGGGGACTGCCGGAATATGTGTACTATTGAGTCTGCTATTATCATGAAGATACTATGCTGTGAAATACAATACATATTAACAACTATTAATAAATATAATTTTTTGTCGGTATTATACATATTTGAATCACTATTGCTTACTTATTATAAGTTATTGAAATAAGTACTATAAAATGAAAACATGGCCACCACTTGTTCAGAACAAAGGCAGAATTTAATTCTGATTGCAATAATTTATAAAACCTGTCGAACATGATGTACAATTATTGAGATGTTTTTTATGTTTTACATTATGGCTGTCTCGTGTGGGTGAATGTATGTATTATTGTTTCTTTCTAAACGAAAGAAAAAAAAACATGTATTTAACCTAAGTGTTGAAGCAAGCTATCCTTTGGAGTTGAGCAAAGCATAAGTAAAGTCTCGAAAAAAGTTAATCGAAAATGAAATCGATAATATCGTCGACAGATGAATAAAAAAAAATAACAGATTTATAATATTATATTTCATCAATTTTGTATTCACGATGCTATACTGAAAAATATTCTTAATGAAAAATATGTATTTTTGTTAAGTTTTTGCTTTATATAATTATAACAAATTTTCATCTTTATAAAAAGTTTATATATTTTTTTAAATATTTCTTTCGAGTGTTCGGGTAGACTGTCTATACATTAATATAAATACGCTCTGTAGTAGGGAAAAAGTTACAAGTGCTTGAAAAATTCGTCAGTCCTGTTAGGATTGCGAAAGGTCATGGGTTTGAGTCCCATCTCAGAGTGCTAGGGACAAAGTGGATTTTTTAAGCATTTTCCATTAAGAATACTTTTATAATATATATCTATACATTTATTAAATTGGGCGTGGGCGAAGTATTAGCTAACAAGAGAACGGATGCCATTTGCAAAACGTGTAATTATTGTGCAACATACAAAACTTTAAGGTGATTTTCAACAGACATATTTATTATTGATTTGCAGATGAATGCCAAATTAATATGCACTCTTAGTCTCAAAAACTATTAAGAAAAAAATCTCCCCAGCTGTTATTTGATTGTATGAGAATTTATATGGTAGATGTATCATCACCATCATCAGATCTTTAAAACTACGCAACGGATTTTGATGCGATTTTTAATAGGGTGATTCAAAAGTTGGTTTTAATTTATAATACTACAGTTTTAATGGTTTTTCAATTCTACTAAGTGACATACGATACAATTCCAGCTAAAATAGAAATGGAATTGTAGCGTATGTCACTTTGTAGAATAGGAAAACCATTTAAACTGTAATTTCGTTCGGTTTCGATTCGATTTAAATAAAATTTATTTAGTAGAATTGGCCTCCAAGACCACGCGGGCGAAAGTTATTTTGTTATAAAAAATATATCTCTTCTACTTAATTACTTTGGACGTGCATTGTTTGTCACCCGTGAAATTATCAACCTTCATCTTAATAAGATTCGAAGGACTTTTTACAAAATATCCTGTGAATCCTGTTGGTCACGCGTCACCGTACGACCATAAGGTGAGTAGCGAGGAGCGACATCTGTGAACGGCTCATTTACTGGCCACATATTCGTCGACATGGTTCGCATGGGGCTATTTCAGTGAGCTCATTTCATTGGTCAATAAACCAATGATAACCAATCATCCATATCCACATGTAAGCCCTATAGACTATTGTAAGCAAACCCATTAGAGCACCTTGCAATTTATTAGGATACCTAATACATCATCACGTGATTATTTTTAGCCCACTGCGAAATCACAGTGTATGCTCATCGTACCAACGTTAGCCATTTAGAACTCCTAACAAAGACTTCTTTCTAAGTCCTTATAAGTTTATTAGTGAGTTACTCACAGGATCGAGTACTCACGGATCCACTAATCACCGTACAATTTATTCGAAAGGAATATTAAGAAAAAAATAAAGATAAAAGCAACAAACAAATGAGGATAGAACTTTAATAAGGTTTAAATCCACTTCAATAAATTACTGAATAATTTAAAAACAAGAGCTATTAATATCCAGTGAAAACTTTAGCAAATGATTGCGATAAATATAAGGCATTTATTCACGTTTTAGGTCAAGGTGAAACGGGCGGGAAAACAACTTTTCCCGTTTTAAACACTTCTTGAACTTGAAATTACTTTTCAATGTGATGGAAATGTCTTTACGGGAAATTAATTAAAACGGAAAATATAAATTAAAAAAGTACGAGTAATATCTGAAGAAAGTTTTACCTGAAGGCTGTGTATATTCGGGAAAAAAATTAACATTTTTGATTTGCACCGATTGCGCGCTTATTAACGTCACCTCTAAGGTCACAGTTTAACGGGTCAATGTAGAAAACGACCTTTCGCCCCTCGCGTTTACAGATTGCCATAACAAGATTTTTAAAATTGCTAAACTTTAGTTCTAAGCTTTATATCACTCGACATGTCAAATTTAAACGTTACCTTACATTTTATGTTGAAAATAACAATATGAGTATTCAAAATTATGAGTATTCTGTCTTATTTTTAATATTCATTTGCAATTGTACTTAGACAGCTGCTACAGTTGTTATTCACCAGGGAACGTCGCAATAAACATTTTGGTACAAATATACCTATTTATCACAAAAATGATATAACTGATTTAGACACGGTTTTCTGTTAAATATTTGGTTGGTAATGGATCTCAAATAAATGTAACGATACAGGTCAGAATAAAAAAAAAACAGAACAGATGAAGTCGTTGTATGTAAAAAGAGCATTAATATATTCTATTCTGAGAAGTCAAAAGAAAATAGAAACCTATTAGTATCATTCCAAACCCAAGAATTCTTCTTTCTAAAATCGTTTTTTTTTTTATAAATATAGAATCGGTCATTAAAAACATGCATAAACGTCAATTCTAAGTAATAAAACTACCAAAATTAAATATAAATAATAAATAAAGTTCTTTCTTTCTTACAACGTACAATGGTTAGTTCTCTTTTCAATAAATAGGGGACGATTTAAGAAATAACAGCGGAAAAAGCACCTACAGAAATAGTGGAATACTTCGTTACAGTGTTGAGATAGCGACCTTTAAAAAAAAGCACAGACAACACCGTGAATGGCACCTTGCAAATTTGTTCTTGCACAGGACTGGATTAGTCAATTCATTTCGAATGTCAAATAAGAGAACATTTCATTGTTACCACAAATATACCTGATAAGAATCGTTTTATTTCATTTTATATTAAGTTCTTGTAAACACTTCACTTGATAGCATTTATTTCCGTCATCGACCTGTGGGTTTACTCATTACTCTTTCAGAATAGTTATTTTAATAAATATTTATTGGTTATGGAACAAAGACTGGATGTAATTATTCGTTTTAGTGCAGCAATAATCATGAATAAGTTTTATGATTGAATAAATTATATAAATTAAATGGCAATTAGGTAATTCCGATGCATGTTAGACACTAACTTTTCGCACTGCTTTGCCCGTGTGGGTAAAATAATTTTCAAAACCTTAACCCTCTTAGTGGTTTAATTTTTCACAATCCTTTCTTAGTGAACCTATTTGTTAACAATTAACTATAATTATGCATGGCACAGCTCATTCTGTCCAGTAATTTGAGATGTATATTGACAGATCAGTCACCTTTTCTTCCTAATGTAGAAGATTCAAAGACTTACCTGAGCAGCAGCGTCCAAAGCCATCCGTTCGATGTCCAAATTGTAGAAGTTGAGTTGGGGGGCATGCCGCCTCCTCGGGCGAATGTCATCGTAGTAAGCGACGACATCATTAATGGAGACAACCGGGCAGTCGTCCGCCGTACTGCATCCGCTGCTCACACCATCCACCCCGCTATCTGAGTCACCCTCCCCGCCGAATCCTTCTTTCGAGTCGCGCCTCTCCCCGTAACTCTTCTCTGAGCCTTCTTGATAACCCGACTCGTTCATCTCATCGGGTGTCACTATTTCGGGGATTTTCGTCGTGTCATATTCGTAACCGACTTCTTCATCGACCGCATTGTCATTCTCTAGGATGTCGGCCATCTTGTCGTTCCGTATAATAATATTTGATGGTTGTGACACTGTCCACTACATACTGTAACGTCTACACTGTGAACGCCCTGTGAACAAAGAAAATATATTAAATATAGGTTTTACTAAATTATAGAAAAATATATGTAATAATAATATTAAATATATACATACATATATTATAATCACCCATCACTAGAGATGCTACGTGATCCATAAATTTAAGATATAAATTATCTACCTCTGAAATTGCTTCAAAGATATTAGGTATTGTTTTATTAAAGCTATAAGAAAAAAGGTTTTCGTAAATTATGCTTTTAAAAAATACCATGTCAAATAAACAAAAAAATAATCTTGAGATCTCAAATGGTTGCTATTAAATAGTTAAGATATATATAAATTAATTAACTGTTGATTTCTATTGAAAGCTAGCTAACCGTACAATTTTCACACCAATCATCTGTAAAAGAAGGAGGATAAGGAAAATGTTTCTTTTTTATGATTTTCCTGTCAACTCTTTTATTTTTTCTCTCCAAAAGGATTTTCTTTAGATCATTATAATTATCCGAAAAAGAAAATTAGCCATATTGATGCAGCGTTTTCCTAATTGTTTTACTGTTACCATAGATACACGTAAACTATACTGTTACTAACGGTTACCTTATCGAAATCTGATATCGAAAGTAGATCATTTATGATTATTTAACATCAAATAAACAAAAAGTTCAAATGAATTGCAGTGTTGATATATTTTTTTATTAATTTAATCTTAAGTATGTTCTGTATTTTCAAGCATCGTTATAAGAAAAAATATTAGACTTCTGCATTTCTTCTCCATATAAACTTTAACTGTTCCCGCACTTTCATACTCTTGTTTAACGTTTTTAATATAGTGATAGACACATTTTTACTTAATTTATGACGCTAGGAAAATCGTTGCTAACCCATTATTTATATCTACGAGTACAACTGTGTAAGTGTCCACTCGACCATGAAAATAGATTCACAGACTAGTTGCAGTGCGCTGTCATTTCCATTTAGTGTTTCCACCCTCCTGTCACTTCCAATAAAGCGGCTACATAGTTGTAGTTAAATTAGGAAAAGACGGAAGATATTGTAATAAAGATAATCGAAAGAAAACAACCATTACCAAGATTCATATATTTGAACACTATAAATTTTAATTCACATAGTGAGGTTATTAGAAAAGTGACTTACAATTCTAGTGTATTTCCTAGGCACTCAAAGGGTTTCGCGGGGTGAGGGGGAAAGAAGGGGCTAATATAATAAAAAATGCCTTTTTAACTTCGCTTACTTGATCGATCATTCCCGCACGTCGAAACTCGAATAAATTTAATTGAAGCGGTAGAAAGGGAGCGGTGTACATTAAAACTATTTTTATAATAAATTATCTACATTTCAAGTTTTATTTATTCTGCAGTCAAGAATTCATGTAACATTACAGATTGGACTCTGTACTGTTGTTATTACAATTACCGTAGATATAAGGCTAGTACTACAAGAAAAATCTTTATATTATTGAACAACCTCAAAAAGTTTGATGATGCTTAAATTAAAAATGGGATACTTATAAAACTTTTTTATTGTCTTCAAATTCACCGTCCATTACATTACAGGATTTTTTGTAATTCCAACCTTACTACATACTTATTACTCATCTGTGTTACCAACGTTACTAGTATTGCCAGGTGTCCCGATTTGCACCTGATTGGGACTCTAAATGTCCGGAAAAATCTATAACTTTACTAACTATATTTAAAACTTGTAAGAAATAAATAAATGTTTTAATAAGTCAATCATCATTTGTTCGTCTTTTCGTGCAAAAATATTTTTATCCATTGGAACCAACCAAGTAAGTTGTAACTTCCTTAATTGTATACTTGCTATTAGATTAGATGCTATTTTATCCGTGGCTCTAAACCAACGCTGACAAAATTAAAAACTTAATATTTCATATCATAATGTTATGTTGCTTTGTTTTTTAACAACTACTACTCGTACGAATTAACATGACACCTAAGGACACCTGATGCTATTTGTCATCGAACAAAAATTCGGATAATTTCAAATGGTTTTTATTATTATTATTAATATCATATCCATGAAGATTGTCGATGCATCAGAGGCATTGTCAGGTCCTACCTCCGTTCCATTATAAATTATTGGAAATTGCGTTTCTTTGGAGTCGTATTATAATTTTCAAAACTGATGAAATTTCGTCAGGTGTCATGTTACGCCAGATAGTTTAAGCTATTCTGTATTATGCTGACTTTGGATATCTTGAAGATCATCCAAGAAAGGTAGTATAAGGAACTGTTAGGACGTCTTGGCTTCAATATATCGTCAAACAAAGATTAACACATAATCCATAAACCATGATAAGAAAAGGTGTAAAACGCAGTGGGGAGGGATTAAAAAAATGTTGGTTAATAAAGATTGGGATATTTTGAGCAGAAAATTTTGCTTTAGTCTTCGATCAAAACCATAATTATTTTTTATTTTGAATAACCAAAACCCAAATAAAAATAAAAAATATATGAAGTTTCTTATGAGCTTGATTTTAATATTTGACGAATTGGTATACAAAGGTTCAAATGCAAAACCTCCATCCCGAAAATGAAATGAATGAGCAGAAACTGCGTGGAGGCAGAAGAAACAGCCTCACTGGTCCAATAAACGCAATGGAGTGGTGCTACCGGGAAAAAAAAACTCCGCTCACCAGGTTAATCAGAAAGGTCATTAAAAGGACACGAACGCGTTTAAGCGACTTTAGCTACAATTCATACTTAGCTCATACACCATAATAGTCTACTATTCCCCCCTCCCCCCACTTGAGCATCAGCTGGAAACACATCTAGGCAAAGACTGCAGTCACAGAATAAGAGTTGTATTAAAGTTAATGGCAATATTTATCATAGGCAGCCGTTTTGGGAATCCATTAGAACATTTTTAATAAAGAAATGTGATTTTTAATGGATACTAAAGAAACATTAAATATTCTTATCTAATATATATAATATATATGTATTAGTATGCAACACAGTTATTTGTTGCGAATAATTTTATCGAACCACTATTTGTGACTAATGTAACTGATAAAGTAGGTAAATAACTGGAATAAGGAAAATTTTCATCAAACAGTCTGACCTCAAAAAAAAATCGTGGTTTTGAATTCATTCAACAAATGCTTCTACTTTATGATACATGGATAACAATGAATCAAAAAGGAGTATTTTTGATTTTCTAATTTAATTGGTCGATCATAGATTTATCGACCAATGAAATCACCGACACTCCGCATGCGCCAGTACTGTCCACCAATCTAATAATTTTCGATGTAAACAAAACACAACAACTACTTACTGTTAGAGACAAAGTTTTCACAACTTATTAAGTAGATCACTAACAATTGCTGTTATAGTGCGACATCATACAATTAGAACGCAACGCGAACTAGTAATGTATCTGAAACAACGACTTTATCGAATAGTGAGACTGGCAGGTATCTGCTGGCAGACCTCTAACCTCCAAAGTGGGTTGATTGGTTTTCTATTCAGTACAAATATTTGTAAATGATATAATTAATTCCTTATGCCCTGACGAAATGTAAATACATTAGTAACCTCATATAAAATTTAACAGTCTGTAGCCTTTTCTTGACGAGACCTAACTCTCCTGTATTTTATTTGTATACATTCTATTGATTTATTTTTACTTTTATCGATACATCGAATCTATTGAGTACAAAACTGAAAAAATAAAAGTAATATCTTAAATATAGGAAAACACGACCTCTTTTTATGAAAAAACCTCTTTGAAAATGATAATTTGAGTATTTCATTAAGTTTTTTAAACGAAAAATATGCGTTTGTGCTGTAGTTATTAATTTCACAAGAATTGGAAATTCAATAATATGGGTGTCAGAAATATCGTAGTATGTAATAGGCTTTAAAAAAATAATACAGTGACCGCACATTATGACCAAAACACGTTCGATTTCGGTTAGGCCGGTCAAGCGGTCACATCTAGTCCACTCTCCCTCTCCGGGGCCAATAACCTCGCAAGCGGGTCAAACGAGTTTTCCAGCGGACCTCAAACATTCCATGATATAACCAATTATTTTACAATTGCAAATATTCTTTTAATTGCTAAAATATAATTTAAGAGCTATAAAACTTGTCATAGACTAAGGGAAACGCGAAAAACATATCCTTATCGCAAGGTACATCAATCTTATAGATGTAAACATTAGCCTTTCTTCGGGCTATACTATATCATACCATAACAGAGCGTCTGTTGCGATGTGAAATAAAAGTGAAGAAGCAAGCACACTTCTCATTTGTAATATTAATAAAGCTGTATGTATATTAGCGCTGGTAGATGCACCATTTAACAGGGCACCACAATGTTCCTAGCCGAGATAATATCGAACAATAAATAAATAATAATTTACTCCGACTAGAAGTCGTACTATGGAGCTTTGAGTGACAATCTCTGCTTTACAATGTGTGATCATAACTCCAAATTCAGTATTTCAGAAATGAAAACGTTCAAACGTTTTTTCACATCTTTAACAATCATTACTTTTATTTTCATTGATAAAAATATAAGTATTGTTTGTTTAATTTAAATAAAACCTTCATAGGGTTTCAACAGCAGTTGCATTAACATAATTATTTTTCACTTTTTTGATGTCGGTCTAAAAAATTAGAAACAATTTTACTATAATTTGCACAAACATTTACGTCATATTCTTCAATTTTTTTCATAAAAACTGATTTAAGATTTTTGAGCACAATACCTATTTATAAATATAAACATTAATTTGGTATTAAAAATATATTAATAAATTTAAAAGCTGATCGATTTAGTGCGCTTTTTCTTGTCAGCTACAAATCAAGTAAACGTATTCTTTACTG